TCCTTCCATGTTAGAATATTGGCTGCTGTGGTTTTGTGCAGGTCTCCTACAGGCAACCATAGCTGTTGATGGGTAAAACATAGTTCATAGTTCATGAGTAAAACATCTTTGCAATGCCTACTCCCCTGTGTGTGGTTCGTGGTGAACAGTAGGATTTACACTTTCCTTCTTTTCATTTACTTTCATTTTTATCAGGAAGAGGATCTTTTCCAACACAGCCAGCATTCACTTTCCTCTTAGTAGAGTTGGGCTACTGTCCAGGTCACTAGGGTGTTTGGAAAGTGGGTTCCTGGCATTTTTGTCCCCTCAACAGAGCTGTAGCAGGAAGGAAGATGATGAGATCCTGCTACAGGGCTTATTATTTAAAAAGCTGCTTCACATATGGAAGGAATTCTCCAGAGGCACAGCTAGGGTGTGGAAGGGCAAGGCCTCCATTCACATATGTTGGCTGGACTCACCTGAAGTGTCTGTCTGTTCAAGGTTGGGGGTAGGGCAAATAGGGAGGGGGAGGAAGGCAGGATTGGGTCAGCATGGGAAATGAGGGAGGGATATATATAGAAGTGCAAGGTGACTGCAGGGCTTGAGGAGGGGAGCAGCAGAGTGACAGGGACAGGCTGAGGGCTGATCCTTGGGGTTTTGCATCGTGCCAGCAGGATTGATGTGGGATTTGGGCAGAACGAGGATATGCTTTCTAGTAAACTGTGTTTAATGGCTTCTTGGTATATGAAACATACCTACAGACCCCCAGTGAGGACTGTGAATGTGGTTTTCTCTAAATAGGTTAGTTTCTGTGAATTCATTATGTCTCTTGCAAGACCAGAATGATACTTAGAGCTCTCTACTGTTCCAAGATGAGGCAGAAGCAGGAAAAGGGAGTGACTTCCTCAGAAATTTTGGTTCTGTTGCTCTGCACCAGGCTCTCAAGGGGAATGCAGGAGAGTCAGACTATGACTCCATTAGAAGCTTACATTAGCACCGGACTTCATGAATCTTCTCAACCTTTCCATCTCTTGGTAAATACAGCAAACTGTTTGCTCTGAACTGAATCAGAACTTTTGCCTGGGACAATTGCAAGTGCAGTCAGTGTTGCTCATTTTGCAAAGAAATACCACTATGCAATGTTAAGCGTTTACAGGGAGAAGTTATCTTCCATGATTTTAGATCTCGTGTCTAGGCAGCCTCCAACTTCTACTACAGATTGAGTATCTATTTGTATGTTCTTCAAAGCACTGAGGGGAGAGATTCTTTTATTGGCCCATTGTGCTAAGATAGTCTTTGAAAGCTGAAAGGGTTCAGTTTCCAACACTTGTCTCTGGTTCATCTGCAGCTATGAACCCTCTCTCCCTTTCCTTCCATCTTTGGTTTTAATTAATTTAGGAGAAAATGGAACCATTTGCTTGGCTATCATTAGCTAGCTTCTATTCTAAAATTCCCTTTGTCCATTTTCTAGAGAGGCAGTTGCTGAGGCAAGATGAACTGGCTTTTCAGGGACACCATTTGGTCATCTCTCCTTGCAGTCTTGTGAAGGTATTCTGCATACCTGTCTCTGAGCCCCTGGCCTCTCTCTGGCTGCCCTGCTCCGTGGGAGCCTCCATTCTGTATTGCTCTCCAGCTGCTCCTTTGTGCACAGGTTAGCCTTTGGCTGTTGAAAGTTCACCTTGTTTGCCCTTGGCTTCAACTTCTTTCTCAGGTCATACTCACTGCCTTTCTGGATCCCATGTCCTCCCCTTTTCTGTTTATAGTTATTCTGTGCAATAATTCTTTTTTGTTCCAGATCTGTTCTCTTGGCATTTGTACAGAATATAGACCAAGTGGGAGAGAGACCCCCCTTTCTCCTTAAGATTGTTGCAATTAAAGAAACATTTTGAATCATTTAGAGAACATTATTTGCTTAAAATGCTCATGGAGTGTTTTCTGTTACCAATTACGCATTGGAATACCGTGCTGAAATTGTTCAAGTGTCTCTTTAAACTTTGCCGATGTTCATGATTTTAAACTAGGCAAGTGCCAAGTGTACTATAGATTTGACTCAAGTCAAAAGTACACATTGACTATAGTTGCTTATTATTATATGGTTGCTTATATTATTTTGTGTTCAATTGTCTATGTCCTGAAAAATGATAGGCCCATAAGAGGATGGAGCAGCGGATGGAGGTGGTCCCTGCCTTCCCTCATCCATAAATGGAAAGGAAGTGACTACTTCTGTCTCATAACTCTTGGGATTTTATGATCATTCCCCACTTCAAGAAAACTCCAAGTCACAGGTGTGGGGAGTAGGCAGCTTTGACACTCGCAGGTGGGAAATGCCATCAGCACCTTGTTTCCAGTAGGGCAGGGGAGTATACAGAGCCACGAAGTCCTCACCACTAGTGTGGGTAGTTTGCCATTTATGTGGATAACCAATTTGCAGAGAAAGTTGCATGTATTAGTAAAACTGTCACAGGATTGCACTCCAAATCACTCAATAATTCCTTTGGTGTGTAGCCTTCCTTTTCCAGTATCTTGTAAGAGAAAGGCCGTGACGCAAAATAGCCACATGGTTGGTTCTCCAGTGTTGAGACACACGAAGAAGCATCAGATTTCGATTGCTAGATGGCCAGCTGACAAACAGGTTATGCCTAATGAGTGATTACATTAAAATGGGGTTTATTACAGAGCACTTAGAATACCTGTGGTTAAGTTCCCCAGAGTGTAAGTGCTTAGGGTCAGGTAGTTTATATTTAGGAAGTTGCATCAGGAAGTGTATGAAGAATAGAAAGGGAGCCTGGGAGGAGGAGAGCCTGAGAAGGTACACACCAGGGGATCCAGCAGGTTACGTCTCACAGCTGGACCTTCTAAGAGTGTTAGTGCCCGGCCCTTTGTGGCTGGAGAGAAGCAGCCAAAAGTTTGAAGGGTACCTGTCCAGAGGAGCTTCAGGAAGCCCCTGGGATGACTGTGGGGACTCTGCCAGCACGTGCTGCAGGTGCAGGGGCTCACTTAGGACCTTAGGGCTGACTGAACTTTCCACATCCCACTGTAGCCGAAACCAAATAGATGGGAGGGCTGGAGCAGATCCAGCAACAGCCTGTGAAGCCAAGGCCTAAACTGAGCAGTAAGAACAAGAGGAACGCACCACACCCTCCTAGCTTTGCATGCCGAAAACAACAGGGAATTAGAAAATAAAATCAGCTTGCACGATTTCAGATGTGGACAGATGCTTTTATTACTTGATTTTTTTTTTAATTCCCACAAAACCTCAAGCAGAGTTAATAATGTATGAAAATTAGGTACCATGTGTACTCTTTACTTCGTAATGTTTTTATTAAGCAACTAGTTGATTTAAAAATAACAGAACAGGACAGTTGACACAATGGCAGACTCTGGTGTGTATGAAAATATCCTCTTAAATGTTCTGTCAGGTTTTCCATTACATAAGAATATTTTGAAAAATGCCTTCCAAATTATCACATGAGATAAAATTATATCAAGCTGCAGTATGATAAAATAAATTGTTCAACTATAAATTCCAGTTGCCTTTTAAAAAATGGCTTAGTCAATTGCAGGTTACACAAGGGAATATGTCTCTGCAGATCTTGTTAATGCCTGGTAGATACATACATGCATCTTTTCAATGTTTTGCTGGTTATTTCTTGATTAGAATCCCCCATCTTTCTTCCCCTCTCCCAGCCCTTTGTCACCTGGCCTTTGAATAGAGGGATAAGACAGGGGAAAGAGGAAAGGTTTTGGACCCACGGGCTTCCCAACAGTTCAAGAGATGCCTCTGTTCTGAACATAGAAACGAATGTGTGAGAAGTTGACCTGTAGCTATTGGGCCAGCTGGTGAGCATTCCTTCTCCAGAGTTTGAGTGCAGGTTTCTTTTTATGTTTTACTCTTTGAGAATTTTATACATGTGTACAATGAATATGATCATATACATCCCCACTCACCATTTCACCGTCCAGTTCCGCCATGGCCCCTAACACCTCCCTCTCCTAACTTCATGTCAAGGTTGTTGCCACTCCTTTGTCTTCCTTCATAACGCATGGTGCTGGCCATGTGTGTGGTGTCATCCGCTGAGCACTGGAAACCTCCCAGGGGCCTTCTCTAAGAAGAACCACTTGCCATCCTCTGGCAGTTGTCAACTGCCAATAGCTCTGATTGCAGGTTCCTGTCATTCCCTCAGTAATCTGCTCCTGAAGACATCGTGCACTATCTCAGAGGACAGTGGGCTCCCCTGCTGCTATTGCAGTATTGTTTGGGTCCTACTGCACCTGCATGGCACCGGCAGAAAGGTGCTGTCCACACTTAGCCGGCAGGGGAGATACCATGATCAAGAAAGGTACTGTCCAGAAGTTTCCGTGGTCTAACAGCAAACTGAAGCAGAGTAAGATTTAGTTATGTAGGCAACAAAGCTTGTGATGTAAATGTTCTCTGCTCTCTGATGTGCTTACTTATGTGTTGCCATGGAATAGTTAAGGGTTCCATAAAACAAATAAGGGAGGAGAGCATCTGCTTATCGCTAGGGTGAGAGAAGGATCACGTGTAGCTGCGATGATATGAAAAAGTCAATGTTTGTTCACTGGCATTCTTCATTCATGGACACTTAGGAAAGACTCCATTGTGGACTTAAACTTCTGAAGCTACTGAGATGAGTTAATAGGCTGATTCTGTTAGGCATTTTTGTCCTTTTTGCCTTTAACCCATACCTGTCTCAGGAGACCTGGTTGGGCATTCCTTCCTCTCAGTGTCTTGTGACTGCCAGTGTTAACATCAGCTGAGTCACAGTTATGGCCTAGCAACTTGAAGGAGTAATGCCTTGTGCACATGTGGGAGCAGGCACATTTGAGCTGTATGATTTGCACAATAAGATGTTCTTGGAATCTCTGTAAGGGGTTGGTTGAAGCAGAACTTTCCCATCTACACCAGGGTCTATAAAAACCACAGAACTGACTTCATGGGGCTTAAGTTTTTCTTTTGTTATTTTCTTCCCTCTCTAATTAGATTTTTTTCTCATATGCAGGACAGAACAGTCTGGCAGGAAATAACTGGCATTAAAAATAACTCAAAGACAGGAGGACTGTACCTCACAAGAATGAAAATGGGATTTGCTGCTCTGAGCCCTGGCAGTCTCAGTAAATCCCAGCATAGGTGAGCATTTGCTCCAAAGAGAAGTCGGGTCAACCGGAGACTTGGCCAGCAGTCCTGAGACCTGGCTCCTGCCCAGCCTGCCCGGCCTGGACTCAGCTCTGGGCAAGCTCTCTTCGCTGACCTCATTGTGCTCAGAAACAATCTGGGAGTAATAATGTCTGCTCTTGAGTTCTCAGAATCCCAAAGGGGAACAGTTGGCTGTCAGGATCTAAGGGGTCATTTATTCTCTCAGTGTGAAGATGGAGTTTAGGGAACTGAAGTAGAATTTTCACCGTATGCACATTGGGCTTTTGAGAATGGAGGCTCACGTTTTTGGTAAGTTATAGTTTCCAATAAGAGAAAGGATGTGACCAGACTTGGATTTTGTGGAGCTTATCACAAACATGTACTGTAATTCATATATAGCCTTTGTGAGTTTTCACTGTTGTTATCATCCCTGATCATGTTGAGGTACCCTTACCATCTCATTCTGACTGTGATCATTCCATCAAGTGTTAAAGAGTACCCCATTTGCTCTGAAAGAAGCCTGTTCTTGGGAATCCTTTCAAAGCTGAGTGTAGTGCTTTATAGTCTGGTAGGTTGGGGTGTCCCCAAGGAGGCAAGTGGGGTAGGGAGACAGTACACCCAACCCTTCCTGCTGATTGCACTTGAACCCTTCCAACCTTGTTTGGTGTAGCTAGCTGCAGGTCATTAGACTGTGCCTGATTCTGTAGAGATAGATTCTTCAAGATTATAGGGTCAGACTGAGCATGAAGAACTAGAACTCAAATCCTCTGATTATTAATGAAGACATCCATCATCATTAATGCCTTAGATGTAGGAACCACCTATCATTTAATAGTTTCTGTCACTGTGACACTGCATGTCCTCAGCGTGAAGAAGTAAAAGATGCCCCCAAGTAATGGTGTATGTGTGTGGAGAAACAGGGTAGTGATAATGATTCCATGTTTAAATGATGCATTGAGCGTCCAGTGCTCTGGCCATGTCATTGATGATAAAGCAGATGGAGGCACTGGGCTCCAAGGGCCTGTCTAACTGTTTTCTCTTGCCAGGAACTGCTACCATCATTAGGGACAGATACTCAACCCTGAAGGCAGGCCCTTCCCTCATCTTACAGTACCACTCATACATCCTCTTTTCCTTGTCATGACACCTGGAGATGAAGGGTTCTGTAACCACCCTGCTAAGAACCAGGAACTGGAATCTTCCTTCCCTCCAAGGCCAACGCCTGGTCTGATCTTCCAAACAACATTGGCCAAAGAACATTTCATATTTCTGTATCTGGCATTTTGTATGTGCCACAGAGCAATGTCCATGTTCCTACCATTGTTTTAATGAATAGGGCACCCTGGCTACCACTCAGTCTTGATACCCTATCCATTGTGACACTCTCCCATCTGCTCTGTTCAAGAGCTTTGGGATGAGTTCACCAAGAGTTTTGAGATCCTCAATTCCTGGAAGATGTTCCAGTTACTGTCGGAGGAACATTGCAGCCCAAACTCACCCCTCACTCATCCCCTTAGCTGGCTTGCTTCATCTTCACTGGAACTGGGCCTCAGGTCTTCAGACTTTCCTGTGTGACTCTCCACTCCTTTGGCTTCTGTCTTCCTGCGTGTCTTTTGCCACTCAGGCTCCACACTGCCTTACGCTTTCTACCATTGTAGACCTGACAGTGAGCCACATGTTCCAGGCAAGTGGGTAGGCTCTGGGCAACTGTATTTTGGAAGGATTATGATGAATCTTCATACATATACACATACATACATACATACATACATACATACATACATACATACATGCCAAGTATTTCAAACAGAGACAGGTTTCTGACACTTCAGTGGGGTTACCAATCATTTTTCTGGTGGACCGTAAGCCCCAAAGATACAAGTGATGTGCTACTTTCTGGTGTGACCCTGACACTTGACTAGGGCATAGAATATACCCTGTGTTCAGGAACTACCTGTTCAGAGGGAAAGAGGTTATGTGGTTCCCTGGACAGAAGGTTGGGCTTAATGTCTAGAGCAGTGGTTCTCAACATGTGGGTCAGATATCATATATATCAGATATATACATTATGAGTCATAACAGTAGCAAAATTACAGTTACAAAGAAGCAATGAAATAATGGTTGAGGGTCACCATAATAATAATTATAGTTGGGGGTCACCACAACATAAGGAGCTGTATTAAAGGGTCTCAGCCTTCCAAAGTTTGAGGACCCCAGGTCTAGAGGCCTCAAGATTTCACATGCTGCCAGACTGAAAGCCCATAGCCTTACTGGTTTGTTGTCAGCTGCAGGTGTCCCAAACCACACTGGTTTTTAACAGTAAGCAGCATGGTTGCTGTGCCTAACAGGGGAACTCTGCTAGGGTACAACAGATGCTTCGTGCACCCCAGGAGCCCTTCCTCTTCTCGAGCGCTATGTAGTGCCAGGGTTCCCATGTGGCCAAGGTCAGGAAAGAAGGCAGGTGGTGTCACCTCACACCTGTGTGTATCAGTGTCAAACCCTTCTTTAACACCCCTGCAGCTCCTATAGGTCAGATGCTGTTCCCTTTGGAGCAGGAATCAGCTTATGCAGGAGGGAGGGGCTGGGAGGTGACTAGCTATGGTGCTGACAGTGACTTCTCCATGGATTGTTCACAATGATGATGGCGACACATTGTTTTGTCACCTGAAGAGTTAGCAAAACCATAACATAGAAGAGTCAGGTGGGGTCCTAGCAGGTGGTGTTAGCATTCCATTTGTTCAGACGTATGTATAACAATGTGACCACCCTTGGATAGGGCTTGCCTTCTGCACGATAGCCCAGTCCCCACCATGTTCTTTATAGTTAGTTGTGTGCACCCTGTGTACTATTCAATCCTTTAAGGTGTTTTGCTTTGCCAACTTGGCTGCAGAGCATGTAAAGTCTCTGTACAGATATTCTTAGAGAATTCTATTAGAGCTCGGGGACATTAATGAAAGAGGAAGTCCTTTATTTATATCCCCTGGAGGGTTCTTTGGTCCAGAGCTGCCTTTGGAAGGTTGGGTTTGTCTCTAAGGCACTAAAGGCAGTCCTTGGGGCTCATCAGTGCACTAAACAAGCAGAAAGGAAAAAAACTCCAGAAGCACTCAGTATCAGCACCCCAGGGTGCTGTGCTCACAGCTTTCTCTTTGACATGGATCTCCTGTTAATTTGAAAGCCACAATTTCTATATGAGCCTGTGCACAGTACCATGTTTTTCTTTTCTTTCTTCCTTTCTCATTAGTTTCTAGGAGGGGAGGAAAGGGGAGTGAAGAAGAAACGAGAAACAGGGAGATCCATCTGCTTGAAAGAAGAAATGGAGGGAAAGAAAGAGGGAGGGAGGGAGAGGGAAGGAAGAAAAGGAAAGGAAAATAGCCCATCTGCTGCTTTGCCCTGAGATATAAATTCCACCTCCTGAATGCATTGGACCCAGTTTTCTGAGAAAAGCCTTAAGTTTATTAATTTGGTTCACAGTGTTCTCACAGAGAACTTTATTTGGTGGCCTGGAGCCATGTGGGATTGGGTTATTTTAAGATAAGTAATGTAAGACAATCAGAATTGCATGGTTGGCAGAAACATGACTGTGCCTATTGCTTAAATAATTATCACATGCAATATAAAAGCTTGGCTCCTGGTGGTGGGGGACAGGGTTAAGGTGAGGTTCAATTCTACGTCTCTACATTTGTGCACTGTGGGACAATGCCTTTGCATCAGAGATGCATCTGATGGGTGCTGCCTGAAGCTGCAATGGCCCTGAGCAGCCTCTGCTCCCTGGGATCATGCCTTTCGGTTAGGACCTGCTGTCAAGGGCAGCAGAGCAGGAAGCAAACGGCACAGCAAGCCTGGTGTGACACCTGACACTACAGCTGGCACCCCTAATATTCACATTTCCTGTATGTCACCTCTAAAAGGAGAAACAAAATTGAGACAGCCTCTTATCATCTGAAACATTGTATTTTCACCACCTGTCTTGGATCACATCTGTGATTATCCACTTAATGTGGGTATCTACCCACACCTATTGCATACAGGCAGTATCGATACACGAGAAGGCAGTTTAACACAGTGCACTTCAGAACACTGACTCCCAAATCTTATGTCTTATGAAATCGGGGAACTCGGCATGTATTATCAACTTATGTCTACCAAAATTTATTATTATTATTATTATTATTTTTTCTGAGACAGGGTTTCTATGTGTTGCCCTGGCTATCCTGGAACTCATTCTGTAGACCACACTGATCATGAACTCAGAGATCTGTGCTCCTACCTCCAAAGTGCTGGGATTAAAGGTGTGGGATTAAAATTACTTTTAATTAAATATTACTTTATAGGTATGGGTATTTTGCCTGAATGTATCTCTGTATGCCTGGTGCCCACAGAGGCCAGAAGAGGTTGTGGGACTCCTGGAACTGGAGCTTTCATGTGGGTGCTGGGCATGGAATAGGGTCCTCTACAAGACCAATAATTGCTCTTAACCACTGAGCCATTTCTCCAGCCCCTGAAATTATTGTAAAATTTTAGCAAAATACACATAACATTTGCCATCTTAACCATTTTTAGTATATATTTCTGCCATACTAGTTGCAAGTTAAGATGATTTAAAAAAATGTGTAAGACAGACAGACCTATGCCTGGATCTTGTGATATCATAAAAAGAGGTTTTCAATACCAAGGGAGAAATGAAAAACATTCTTAACATAACAAGTCCTTCCTCATCTGTGACAGAATATATAAAGGAAATGTATGTTCATGGAAAATAATGCTGCAGTGAAAATGCAGCAAATGTTCATGTTGCCATTTCCTAGATTTAAAAAATGCTAAATGTTGTCACCTTTTCTTTTGACCATTCCTATTTAAAGGACTGGAACACTAGTTGTTTGTTACAGGTCATGACCAGACAATGAGCGTCAGCCAGCATGAAGTCAGCCACACACCTAGAACACAGTGAGATAACCCTGGGTGGCTGTCAATGAAGGAAACTGTGCTGACATACACTCTGCTATCTGTGGTCCAACTGTTCTGTGCAAATAGCTCATGGCCTGGACCTAGTCAGAAACCAAACTCTTGGTCTGGTTTTGGTCTTAAAGAAGTGAAAGTTGACAGTTATAGTTGAAGCCTGTGTCTATTCATTCCACAGCATCTTCCCCTCTCCTTTCCAGTGCACTGGAGTTAGTGTTTGCCTTCCCATCCGTTGTATGAACTTACCACAGTGTGTAGTGAGTAAATTCATCACCATGTGTAGTGTGAGCTCATCATGGTGTGCAGTGTGTGTGAGCTCATTACAGTGTGTCATAGTATGTGAGCTTATCATGGGGTGTAGTGGGTGAACTCATTATGGTGTGTAGTGCATGAGCTCAACATGGCATGTAGTGTATGAGCTCATCCTTGTGTGTAGTTCTGTCTCTGAAACTTTGTTTTTGGGCAACATGATTTCAAACTCGCCTCCATTTTTATACTTGCAGATTTGTCCTTCTTGTGACTTTAGCATTTCATACTCGTCTGTCCTATTAATGGATATTTGCATGTTTTCTAGTTTTTTTTTTTTTGCTACTGTAACATTATACATTCTTATGAGCCTGTCTGTGTGCATGGGGTGGGATCTTTTAAAAATAAAATTTTTACTAATTTTTTGAGGATATTAAATCCACCCTATCTTCTTGCCCACCCAATTTTGTGCTGCTCTCTCTCTCTCTCTCTCTCTCTCTCTCTCTCTCTCTCTCTCTCTCTCTCTCTCTCTCTCTCTCTCTCTCTCTCTCTCTCTCCCCTCTCTCCCCCCTCTCCCCCCTCTCTTCCCCCCTCTCTCTCCCCCTCTCCTCTCCCCTCTCTCCCCCTCTCCCCTCTCCTCTCCCCTCTCCTCTCCCCTCTCCTCTCCCCCCTGTCTTCCCCCTCTCTCCCCCCTCTTCCCCCTTCCCCTCCCCTCCCCTCACCATTGTTCGGCTGGGTGGTGGCTGCACATTCCCTTTAAGCCCAGCACTCAGGAGGCAGAGGCAGGTGATTTTCTGAGTTTGAGGCCAGTCTGGTCTACAGAGTGAGTTCCAGGATGGCCAGGACTACACAGAGAAACCTTGTCTCAGAACAAAATAAAATAAAAATCCAAAACAAAACCAAACCAAACCATGGATCAACCCATTTTGTCTCTGCAAATACTCTTGGGTGTGGGGTCTGTCCAGAGGGTGGTTGACCTATTGAGACTCATATCCATAAAGAAAATGGACTCTTTCTCTCCTAGAAGCTATCAATGGCCAATAGCTCCTCAGCAAGGGGTGAGACTTCATGTGCCCCTCCCACTGTTCCATACTGGGATTTTTGTTTGGTTATAGCTGACACAACCACTTAGTTTATATGCCCTCCACCTGCCCTGTTATGTCTAGGAAACATCATTTCCTTGTAGTTATCCCCCACCTGTGGCTAATCTTTCAGGGGTAGAATCTTGTAAGGGAAGTTACCTGGGAAGAAAGTCTCTGGATCAATGGTGCAGTTCAGCACAAAATCTAATTAACATATTAACCAGCATGGTTATTTGCTATAACTTCTTAGGTTAATGGAAATTGGGAAAGGTAATACTGTAAGCCAACCATTAATAAATCTGGGTTCTTGGGACCAGATTGTTCATCAATAAAAGGTTGGTTTCAAAGTCTGTATGTAGTAGAAGCAGTGCTCTGGAAGGTTGTGTGGAGGGATGGCATCTTTGGACATAGGGCAGAGGCCAGCTGGGAGAAGCTAGCCCTTCACTGAATTTCTTTCCCTGTGATGGAGAAATGCCTGCAGACTTGGTCTGGGAAGCAGATGGAGCTGGGTGTTGCTGTCTCTCAAGGTTTGGTACAAATGCCTTTTTTGATCCAAGAAAATCTCGTGAATCAAGACTTGGCTAGTATTCTCAGCAAGCCTTTTCTGGAGTGGCTGTACTGTTGCTAAGAGTGTGAGTCTGACTGTCTAGTCTGTGGTTACTTTGAAACTGTTGGGGAGGTATCAAAGGAAGAAATGGGTCCAGGTCACATCAGAGCGTGTCCTCCCACCTCCAGAGTGTTGGAGGATGCTCCAGTGGTGGCCTATCTGTGACTACCATTAGCATGGTAGGAACACATGGTTTGGGTGAGTCAAGCTTTAGACTGAGGAATGTAACCGAGACAGTGTATTTTATTTCACAGTCTTCTCTGTTACCTTCAGCAAACAGTGGAATGCTTTGAACACTGTAAAAAATAGTAAGTGGGAAGACAGTGGTGAGAAAAGCTATAGTGCCATCAAAGAAAATAGTAACAAGCTGAAAAAAAAAAAGCTTTGCCATTTAAAGGAGTTCTTCTGAGCTGGTGTAAGAGGCCCGTGGCATGGCTACCTTCACGTCCCATATACTGGGTGATGATAAGTCAGAGTGGTATTACAGGTAACAGGTAGAGAATCAGTGTTAAGGATTTGGGTGCTGTTTGATCAGTGTTGTTCATAGTTGGCTCTGTGAGCATTTGTGATAAACTAGACATCAGGCTGAAGCTTTTCCTGCGGTTTCCATGTGGGAAGGTCTCATGTGTTGGCTACCTGGTTGCATCTTTGCCGCTTAAAAATACTCTGTTTTTTAATCAGCTGTCAAAGCTGGAGAAACAGCAGCAGAGAAAAGAAAAGACCAGAGCCAAGGGACCTTCTGAGTCAAGCAAAGAACGAAGTGCACCCCGAAAAGAAGACCGCAGCGCCAGCAGCGGGGCAGAGGGCGATGTGTCTTCGGAGCGGGAGCCATAGATGCAGAAGCAGGAGCTCAGGTAGGAGGTTCCCACCTGCACAGCTTTGTTCCCTATGTTGTAGGGAAAAGGAATGAATCAAGGTGAGATGTCTGCTAAGGTAGCGTTCTTCTTTGAACATTCATTCATTCATGGCATCCTTGGATGTGCTGCTTCCCAGCATGGTGAAGGTCAGTGCTCCAAGAATGTGTTGTAGTCATCAAAATGTGTGCAGGAGGCTACACAAAGGCTAAGGGATGCCCCAGTGGACAGTGTGTGTCCCTCCTGCATTGTCTGTGCCAGCCACAGTGCCTGGGCCTGGCTAGCATCTGTGTGCTCTCCTGCTGTCAGCCCCATCTCTGTCTTTCCTTACCACCCTGTCTGCCATTGCCACTCTTACTCTCAACAAGCCCAGTGGCCAGTGTACTCTGAAGTAGTCTTCTGCCACTATTTCCTGGTTCGTATTTTACCATATTCCTTTCATATTGCATGGCACTGCCATTTATTTGTCTATTGTATCAAGAGAGTGTCCTGCTATGTAATTTTGGTTGGCTTCAAACCCAACTATGTAGACTAGACTGTTTTCATACTCACAGCAATATTTCTGCCTCTGTCCCCCAAGCACTGAGGCTCCAGAGTTGTACCACCATGCCCAGGTGGCGTGGCTTGTTCTTCACTGTTCCATGTCCAAGACTGTGGAGTTCACTGTAGCATTAAGTTCATCTTCCAGCGGCCCCAGTGGCCTTCTATCTCAGTTTCCTCATCAGATATATTATCAAAGCCCCTTATTTAATGAATACTTGACCAAATAATGGGGTACAGGTATGAAGAATCCATGGCCTGACCTTACAAAGTTCACACATTCATGAAGAAAAATGGAAACAGTTGTGTCACAGCAAAGTGCATTATGGAATGGACAGAACGGAGTGTGGGGGTAGAGAGAACTCTAGAAGTTGACCTTGAAGGATATATATAATGGGGAGGTAAAGGACAAGAGCAGGGAATAGCTACCAAGGCAAGAGAGAGAAGTGTGTGTTAGTTTTGGTCACTATAACAAACAAATAAACCAACAAACAAAAACTATTTTGAAAAGGCTTATTTTGGCTCACAGTTTTGGAGGTTTCAACCAATGATTTATTGACCCTATTGATTTTTGAGCATTTGGCAAAGCCATATATCATAGTAGGCACATATGGTGATGCAACGCTGTTTACCTCATGGCCAGGAAGCACAAAGAGGAGAGAGGAGTGGAAGCGAAGGCTGAGATTCCATGGTTTCCTTTAGGAGCACACCTGAAACAATCTGAAGATGTCCTCCCAGGCCCACGTCTGAAAAATTCCACTGCCTCTCAATAGTGCCATGGTACAGACAGACCAAGCCTTGATCATGTGAGTCTTTGGAGGATTCTTCAGATCCAGTCTACAGGAAGGTGCCAGCATTTTATTGGAGGAATTGAAATGACCAAGATAGATACCTTTGGAGAAGAGGGAGATTAACTGAGGAGTTGTATACCAGTGGGGAGAGCGTAGAGCTTCTTGAAGTTGGGGATGTGTTTTATAACTCTCAGGAATCTGAACTTCATCATGGGGTAATGATAAACCTCTGAAAAGTTTTAGTGTGCAAGTGACATAGTCAGGCATAACATAAAAATACCCTCCAGTTCTGGAGAGCAAGACTGGACGTAGATAGGCCAGTTTGGAGGAACTGTAGAAATCCAAAGAAATAGTGGGATTAGAGGAGAAAGGTGGGGCTGGAAGATGTCAAGATCTGTGTCTGTGGTTCTGGGGCTGAGACGAGATCTTGGGCATGCACTTCGGGGCCTTCATCTTATACACCAGTTAAACCATATGTGAATACAGGGTTGTTCTGAAGATACCAAGCTGCAAGAGGAGCGGCTGCAGGCAAGGCCTTCTCGTCCCTTCTGAAGGCGGTTTCTATAGGATGTGAACTTTGAGAATGTCTATGTACAGATGCTGAGATACACTAGTAATAGTTGGATGCAGTAGTATCCACTCTCAACAGATAGAGGAATGAATGAAGGCTCAGGAAGACTGGGCCTCTGACACTTTGGGAGGCTGTGAAGGAATCCTCCTGCCTTTGACTTCTCTTATACCCTACCTATAGCACTATGGTTTTTTCCCCCAGTGTACCTATGGGAAGATAGTGGGGCAATAGTAGCCGGTCTTGATTGACTTACCGCACACATTCATGTATGAGTGAAGTGTGAGTCAGAGAAAGGTCACATCACATTACACCTTATTGGTCACAATCACTAACTCATCAGTTTTTCATTTTGATGCTCAGGCCTAAGGCCGTTGGTTTTTATTCATGAACTGAAAAAATACATGATGTGGGTTAATTATATACAAAATGTGATATTTGGTTTTGAATTAATATTAAGTGTTCATGAGTATGTGACTTACATATTACATAAAATTTCCATTCCTACTCCTTCTAAAACTTGATGTTTTTTCCTACCAGCAGTCAGTTTTGTCATATAAATACTGCTGATGTTATTGGTTAACAGTCTATTTAGAAGTGAGAATTGTCACACATGCAGACAGGGCACAGAGGAGAAAGGATGAAGAGGGATGATGGAGAGGAGACCTTTGCCTGGCAGAGGGCAAAACAGTACTCAGGGTATTGGGTAGCCAGTGGAAAGAGCAGAGGGCCAGCCTGATGCAAAGAAAGCCAGAGATCAACCTCATGTTTGAATAGAAAGTGTAGCAAGAAGACAGTTAGGCTTAAGACACTAACAAGAGGAAGACCATGCCTCGTACTGGAAACCTAGCTAGCTACTCAATGCTAGTGAGGTCATGGTTATTGGAGAAGACTCTACAACCTCTAATTTACTATACCAGCATAGTCCCTAACAACAATCTATAAACATTTGTCCTTACACCCACAGATAAGTGTAGTCTCTACCCCTCCTCAAGGAAACTTCTCTTTGCAATAGACAGAGACCATTACAGAAAAATCACAACCAATCAAAATGCAGAATTGTGGAGCCCACTTCCAACAGTGTTATCTACAGAACACTTCCACACTTAAGGCTCAGGGAACTTTGAGGGAGAGGGGGTGGAGAGATTGTAGGAGGCAGAGGACCAAGAAGTTTGCTGTGAGGTAGTGTCTCCCATTAGAGTTGTGTGTAGTTTTTGCTCTTTTGGCTTTTTGAGGGTTTCACCACCCAGCTCCCAAATAAATCACACATGGAGTCTTATTATTGCGTATGAATACCCGGCCTTAGTTTGACTTGCTGCTAGCCATCTTTTCTTAACTTAAATCAACCCATCTACCTGTTCCCTCTGGGATTTTATCTTTCTTAGTTCTGTATATCTTACTTTCCTTCTTACTCTGTGGCTGGTCCCTGATGTCCTTCTCTCCTTGTTCTCTTTGCTCTTCTCTCCTTCATTGTTTCTCCTTCTATTTATCCTCTCTGCCTACCAGCCCTGCCTATCCTTGCCTGCCTCTCTATTGGCCGTTCAACTCTTTATTAGGACCCTCAGGTATTTTAGACAGGCAAAGAATCACAGCTTCACAGAGTTAAACAAATGCAGCATAAACAAAAGTCACACACCTTAAAATAATATCCTACTATACATGAGAAGCTACACCTATAAAGTCTCATGAATATGATTGCCCAAACATGAGCTGAACAAGGATGACACCAATGGACATGCCAAAGTGGTCAGCGGGTGGGGGAGCCCACAAGGCACAACCCTACACAGAGAACTATAGGCAATTGAGAAAAGATGGGAGTGGCGTAGGTGGTCTTTTCCGGGGAAGATCACACTAATCGGTTATCCAGTGGCAAATGGTCAGCACTGAAAACACACAGACAAGTAACATCATATGGCTAAACAGGTTATATTTAGGAATATGTATGTATACATATATGTATGCAATAACAATTAATGGAAAAATAGGTCATGAATCTGAAGGAGAAAGGGAAGGGGTATATGGGAAGGTTTGGAGAGAGGAAAGGGAAGGGAGAAATGTAATTGTATTATAATCTCAAACAAACAGAATAGAAGGCATGGTTAGGCCTCAGGTCTATGATACTCTTAGTGCAGCGGCATAGATAATGATCATGGGATTAGGTTCAAATATTACATATAATTTATTTTGGGGAGAAGTCACTTACAGAAGAAGCAGATGGCTGCCACAGGTTCCTGCTCTAAGGATCCGCACAGGCTGCTCCCTGTGACTCATCTGGACACGAGAGAGCCACCTGCCCAGACCCCAGACCTAAGCTCACTCCCCATCAAGTCCTCACCTGTGACCACGCCCAAATGGGCATGGCCAGCGATACAGGTGCCGGCGGGTGTGTGTGTGTGTGTGTGTGTGTGTGTGTGTGTGTGTGTGTGTGTGTATCTCACTACACCTTAGAAGCAGGAATACAGCACTGGGATTTATCCAGGACTTCTTCTCATCCTGCTGGTGGCTTCTTTATGTAATTTATGCCTCCTTGGTGTTTCTTCCCTTAAAACAAGCAGGACCACTTCCTGCAGCTGTTTCAGAACAAGGACAGATGGAGTTACAGTGTCAGCATGCATGCTGCAGTCAGTGCAGGAAGGAGAGACACTAGTCTAGACCCCAGGGTCTGTGCATAGTCCTTCCAGGTTCACACAGAAGAAAGCATTCGAAAGATGGATTGCACCCACTGACGGGTCAGAAGGACCCAGTCCATCAGGCTCAGTTGTGCTGGGAAAGCAATTAACTTGGTTCAGAAGTGGACACTAGCTTGGGTTCTCCAGCCATGGACCCAGGAACTGTGGGCAGCCACCCACATTCTCTTAACATTTGTGGACACTGTCTTTTCTCTTGACTTTTGTTATACTATAAACTATAGCTTTTTTTTTTTTCTGGAGAATTAGGACTTCAGCTACAAGTTTAATACAAGTTAAATGTTTGAACTCCCATGATGAAAATGGTGGGAGAGGGATAAAAACATGAGCACTCGTCTCAAAGAACCAAACCTAGATTATCAACCTAAATACACATGCTTTGCACACGTGTATACACATGCTATGCACACACAT